CTTTTCATTACATTGGTGATAATTTCCATTCAACAACACGAAGATGATTGGTGTATCGTACTTTACACATGATGTACCCCCAGTTATGGTAGCAGCGGAACATCTGGTATCGTTAGCACAGTTTTCATCACATTCCGCTGAATCAGATACTGAAATTCCTTCGTAGGCAAAGGGATCCAAATCTGTTACATTTGAATACTTGTATCGACATTCTGAAAAATGAAATGAATTTCGCTTTACGTCCTACTTTTTTGCACCATGGGGGCTAATGATTGAAGACGGGCAACGCCATGCAGTGTGCAATTCGTAGGCAAAGGGATCCAAACCTGTTACATTTGAATACTTGTATCGACATTCTGAAAAATGAAATGAATTTCGCTTTACGTCCTACTTTTTTGCACCATGTGGGCTAATGATTGAAGACGGGCAACGCCATGCAGTGTGCAATGAGGGAAATTTTTACCAGGAGACCGGCATTATCCTACTCTTGTTCGATTTCCAACTGTCGAGATATCTTTATCGTGTACAGCCTGAAGCACATGGTGCCTAAGTTTATAGTCCAATCTGAACGACTAGACGAGCGAGGAGAGATTGGTAAATTTACTTTTTTTAATTTGTACTTACTGCAATCGTCACCGAATGTGTTTGGTGGACAGTTACATTTTAATGTTCCATTTTCTGCCGTCAATATTCTACCATTTTTACAATCCGGAATAATCACTAACAATGATACAAATGGTGATAAACTCAAAAACTATTTTAATGATGGTAAAAACATACACGGTGGTTTAAAGATGGGTTGCCTTATTTTCATTTATGAAAATGAAAATGCTAATACTTATATGAATAGAAAGTAGTGGTGTTCTAATGACTTGGAAAAATACCAGTTTGTCTCATATGTCCATAATTAACTCATTATTAGCTAAATTAGAAGAGAATTACCAGCAGAATTCCAATGAGTGACCGATCAAGAAAGGTCAAAAAGTCCTTTTTTGTTTATCCAGACTGTACTTACATGGACATTTATGATTGGTTAAAACTCTTAATTTTATACAATAAGAACATAATGATATGATTA